GGTCAATGTTCAAACATGGGGGGTCATTTTTCGGAATAACTTTTAATATCCAGTATCATGAACTATAAAGTTTTTCGATAAGTCTTGCGGTTTCAAAAGTCCTGGAAGAAAAAGAATAATAACTAGTAGACTAATTGTTCTCGAACAATTAGAGGTCTTTCCACCTTTAAATTTCATATATTCTTCATATTTAACTCTCTACTCTTTATTTTTATACAAAAGAAACCAGAAATGGCTTGAGAGATGGAAAAAATGAAAATTTAAAAAAAAATGAAATGACCTTGACCTTTGACCTTGATTAAATATTCAAGGTCAAAGGCCAAGGGTCACATTACAATTAACCCCATGCTTCTACGACTTTTAGCTTTATAGTTATAAGGTTTAATAGTAAGAGCAAAGACGTTAAAGGGCGATAACTCATATAAGGGGTCATCGGATACTAGATTGAAGTTGTGTCTAAAGACCCTGAAGACATTAGTGAAGGTTTTGTGCCTCTACGGTTTACGGTTTCGGGGGAGTAGCGATAACAAGGTTTTCAGAAAAGGGGGCAATAACTTTTAAAGGGGTAAATCTTAGGGGACAAGTATGAAATCTTTGAAATAGTTTAAAGAGGACATATTAATGATGCATAGATATTTAGTACATGTTGAAAGACAAAAGAGATATAAAAAGAGCTTCATTTCTCATATATTGAATGACCTTGACCTTTGACCTTTGCATATATTTTAAGGTCAAAGGTCAATGAATCTTATGCAGTTGGTCACATGTCTCTACGACTTATCATTTTGAAAATGTTTAATTATTTGTAAACATCAAAAACTTTCAGGGGCAATAACTCATAAAAGGGGTTGACGAATACTTTCGCAATGAAAAGATTGAAGAGTCCCCTCAATTAGTCGAAGACATTGGTGAAGGTTTCGTACCTCTATGGTTTACGGTTTCGAAGGAGTAGCGATAACAAGGTTTTATTGCGAAAGGGGTAATAACTCTTTGAGGGGTCAAAGTTCATATACGCAGGGTCAACTGCAAAAATCTTTTACGGAGTTTATTCTCATGGACTATAAATCTTTTCGATAAATCTTGAAACTCAAAATCTTGCGGAGGAAAAATAAGAAGAATAATAAGAAACAGAAGAAAACCAATAGGTCTTTCCACAGAAAGGTGGAAAGACCTAATAAGAATAATAATAAACAGAAGAAAATCAATAGGTCTTTCCACAGAAAGGTGGAAAGACCTAATAATAATAACTAGTAGACTAATTGTTCTCGAACAATAAGAGGTCTTTCCACCTTCTTTAAATTTCTTTAATTTTTATATTTTACTCTCTAAAGTTATTTTTTATACAAAAAGAATCCATAAATGGCTTGAAAGATAGAAAAAATGAAAATTTTAAAGATTTTGAAATGACCTTGACCTTTGACCTTTACCAAATATTGAAGGTCAAAGGTCAAGAATCACATTGCAATTGGTCTTATGCATTTACAACTTTTAGTTTTAAAGTTATAAGGTTTAAAAGTTAGCGCAAAGACGTTAAAGGGTGATAACTCATATAAGGGGTCATGGGATCCTTTCGCACTGAATAGATTGAAGTTGTGTCTAAAGACCCTGAAGACATTAGTGAAGGTTTGATGTCTCTACGATCTACGGTTTCAGAGGAGTAGCGATAACAAGATTTTTTGCACAAGGGGCAATAACTTTCAAAGGGGTTAAGCTTAGGGGACAAGAATAATATCTTTGAAATAGATTTAAGAGTACATACTAATGATGCAAAGACAAATAGTATATGTTGAAAGACAAAAGAGCTGTAAAAAGAGCTTAATTTCTCATTTTTGGAATGACCTTGACCTTTGACTTTTGCATACATTTTAAGGTCAAAGGTCAATGAATCTTATGCAGTTGGTCCCATGTCTCTACGACTTATCGTTTGGAAAAGTTTTAATTATTCGTAAACATCAAAAACTTTCAGGGGCAAAAACTCATAAAAGGGGTCAACGAATACTTTTGCAATGAAAGATTGAAGAGTCCCCTCAATAAGTCGAAGACATTGGTTAAGATTTCGTACCTCTACGGTTTACGGTTTCTAAGGAGTAGCGATAACAAGGATTTTTGTACAAGGGGCAATAACTATGAAAGGGTCAAAGGTTAAATAGCTGGCCACATGTTTTTCGAAATAATTTAAGTAGTCAAGTATCATGAACTATAAAGTTTCTCGATAAGTCTTTCGGATCAAAAAGCCGTAGCGGAATAATAATAATAATAATAACTAGTAGACTAATTGTTCTCAAACAATTAGAGGTCTTTCCACCTTCTTTAAATTTCATATATTTTTCATATTTAACTCTCTATTGTTTTATTTTTATACAAAAGAAACAAGAAATGGCTTGAGAAATGGAAAAAATGAAATTAAAAAAAAAAATTGAATGACCTTGACCTTTGACCTTGAACAATTATTTAAGTTCATAAGTCAAGGGTCACATTGCACTTGACCCCATGCTTCTACGACTTTTAGTTTTAAAGTTATAAGGTTTAATAGTAAGAGGAAAGACGTTAAAGGGCGATAACTCATATAAGGGGTCATCGGATCCTTTCGCACTGAATAGATTGAAGTTGTGTCTAAAGGCCCTGAGGACATAAGTGAAGGTTTCGTGTCTCTGCGGTTTACGGTTTCGGAGTAGTAGCGATAACAAGGTTTTCAGTGAAAGGGGCAATAACTTTTGAAAGGGTAAATCTTAGGGGACAAGTATGAAATCTTTGAAATAATTTTAAGAGGACATATTAAAGATGCAAAGAGATTTAGTATATAATGAAAGACAAAAGAGATATAAAAAGAGCTTAATTTCTCAAATTTTGAATGACCTTGACCTTTGACCTTGAAAAAAATTTCAAGGTCTGAGGTCAAAGAATCTAATGCAGTTGGTTCCATGTCTCTACGACTTATCGTTTTGAAAATTTTTCATTATTTGTAAACTTCAAAAACTTTCAGGGGCAATAACTCAATGAAGGGGTCGACAAATCATTTCGCAATGAATAGATTGAAAAGTCCTCTCAAGTAGTCAAAGACATTGGTGAAGGTTCTGTATCTCTACGATTTACGGTTTCGAAGGAGTAGCGATAACAAGCTATTCTTGCGAAAGGGGCAATAACTTCGTAAGAGGTCATAGGTCAAACACGTTGGGTCGTTTTTCGGAATAACTTTTAATATCCAGTATCATGAACTATAAAGTTTTTTGATAAGTCTTGCGGTTTCAAAAGTCCGGGAAGAAAAAGAATAATAATAATAATAATAATAATAAACATAAGCATTTCAAGAGGTCTTTCCACAGAAAGGTGGAAAGACCTAATAAACAGATGCATTTCAAGAGGTCTTTCCACAGAAAGGTGGAAAGACCTAATAAACAGAAGCATTTCAAGAGGTCTTTCCACAGCAAGGTGGAAAGACCTAATAATAAACATAAGCATTTCAAGAGATCTTTCCACAGAAAGGTGGAAAGACCTAATAAACATAAGCATTTCAAGAGGTCTTTCCACAGAAAGGTGGAAAGACCTAATTATCATAACAAACGATGTTTTAACATAACTTTGCCATCTAGGCCTATTTCCAAAAACAGGCAAATTGTGTGTGTGTGTTGGGGGGGGGGGGGGGAGACAAAATTGATTGGGTATGGCTTTTCTAGGAGGTTTTTGCCTAATCAAATACTAAAAAAAAGTTTGCACATTTTGATAAATTCATCAAAAACGCTTTGTACTAAAATAATATTATTTGTTGAGAAAATAAATTTAAAAAGTTCCAATTATGGGCCAAAAATTTATATCCCCCTTTTATCAAAGCCTAATTTACATCATTAATTAAATTCTGTTATTTCAGACTGGTAATGAATTAAGTAAAGGAAATACCTATAAGAGGCTCATAGATCACATGGTCACCTGAGCATTTTTTGCTCGATTTGACGAATACATGTACTGTGTAAATTATAGAATTATTTTGACTTTTTCATTGGTAAGCCCAATATGAAGGAGTGTGCATTTAGAGGCAAACACCTTAGTGAGGGTATTACTGTCTCATGACAGCATCTAGTTTTTATTTAAATAACAAAGGTAGAACTTGAAACTATGGCAACAGCAATGAGGTCCAAGGGCCTTGAATTGCTCTTCTGATAAATCACTTTTATTTGAAGCTTCTAAGTATCCTGTATATTTAGATAAAGCCTTGAAATTCCTAAAGTTGGTCATCATGACCTACATTTTGGTTAAAATACTCTGAGAACCCAAGATGCATCAACTGACAAAGTTTGATGATTCAAAGCCCCTTATTATCTTAAATATTCAGATATAGCCATGAGATTCCAAAAGTAGACCCTCAAAATGCCTCAACTGACAAAGTTTGATGATTCTAAGTCACTTATTATTTCAAATATTTAGATATTGCCTTGAAATTCCAAAAATAAGTCACTGTGACCTACTTTTTAGTTGACAGAGTCTGAAACTCAAAATACATCAACTGACAACGTTTGATGATTTAAGGCCAATTAGTATCTGAATATATTTAAATATAGCAGTAAAATTTCAAAAGTAGGTCATGATGACTTACTTTTCAGTTGACACACTCCAAGGACCCAAGATGCATCAACTGACAAAGTTTGATGATTCTAAGCCAATAAGTCAATGAAAAAATATTCAAATGTCATCGTAAAATTCCAAAAGTAGGTCACGGTGCCTTATTTTCAGTTGATGTACTTCAAGGACCCAAGATGCATCAACTTCCTGTTAACAAACATAAATCCACTACACCAAAGGATACTTTGTGGCAAGTTTTGTTGAAATTGGCCCAGTGGTTCTTGAGAAGAAGTTGAAAATGTGAAAAGTTTAAACACGACTGATGACAGACAATAGATGACATATGACAGATGGATGCCGAACACTCTTTGATCAGAAAAGCTCACTTGAGCCTTTGGCTCAGGTGAGCTAAAAATGGTCTAAAAATAACTAATGTTAAAGGATACTGTGAATAAGTAAGAGGAATGGCAATAACATGGTTTCTAACTTGATTCAAGACTCGCAGCATTTGACACATGTTGACATAGGCCTCTGGACTGTAGTCTGTCAAAAAACACTTTCCAAAGGCAGCAGCCTGCAAGAATAAAGCAGACAAAAATAATGTAATTTTTAAGACTTTATATAACTGCAGAACTGTAGCTCTCCGGTTGAGAAAATTAGACCAGACAAACCAGGGACCTACACATCCAAGCATTGTAAAAACCTTCGATTTTCACCGTCACTTTTTTGTTGCTCACTTTAGGTATTACAGTGAAACTTGTCTAATCCGGATGTTGTATATTCCGAAATCTTGCCTAATACGATGTAAATTTAAAGTCCCTTTCAGTAATTTCAGTTGTTTAAAAGTTGTCTAATCCGGAATGTTGTCTAATCCGGCCAATTTTTTTGGAACCAGTGGTGGCCAGATTAGACAAGTTTTACTGTATTATGTTCCCCAAACAAAGTTTGGGAACATATTGATTTTACTCTGTTTCTTATTAATATGTTTCCCAAACAATGTTTGGGAACATATTGTTTTTACTCTGTTTCTTATTAAGGTCTTCTATCTTCACAGAAGACCTTAATGTGATTTTACTGCATTTCATTATTATTATTAAGGTTTTCCATCTTACAGGAGACCTTATAGTGATTCCACTGCTTCTTTTTTTTTTATTTTTCTAAAATTCTAATTTTGTGCACACAATTTCTTGAAGAATAATGGATGGTTTTTAATGACATTTGCACAAAAAATGTGTCGTAAGCTGAAGTTATTTTATCCAGAAGGAAATTTGAAAATTCATTTCTGGTAACAAGTTACAGACAATTTTCTGTATTCAAAATGATATTTTGTCTGTGGATAATCTGAAGAACAGCAAGAAATATCAATATGAAACTTTCAGGGATTATAGATCGTGATAGACACTAGCCTTGTTGCTCCTTTTTGGTCGTCTTTGGCTCACAGAAGTGAATTTCAAAAATTGATTTTTTTAAAAAAACTTTTTATTTTTCTATGATATGAATAGAGTTAACAGAGAGTCTTATTAGAATGCAAAATATATAACTTGTTTTTAAAACTTCTCAAACCATTTTCTAGACATTCATTATTTTTCACTCTGAAGCAGTGGTTCCAATGGCGTAATGGTTAACATGTTGGCTTTTCAGCGGGCCATCCAGGTTCAATCCCCAGATTGTCCGATATTTTTATCATTTGTTTCAGCTTAAATTTATGTTTTCATCTTTGATACGATGTCTGCTTTTTTTTATGATGGAAGTTTGCATTATTTTCATAGCTTTTATTGGATATTGCATTACTTTTTACGATTGCCAAAAACATCAGGTAAACATTTACACTTTATCTGTTAAACACTACAAACTAAAATTGTTTTTCTTACATATTTTATGTATGTAAGGAATAAGAAATTAGAGGAATTGCACAATGGTAATACACATTATGTAATAAGTAATAGCTTTTTCGAGAAGCTTGCCTGATTTATAGCAATCAATATTCATAGTAAGTATTACATGGCAAATGTTTCTTTCAAATGCTGGGCTTGATTCCTATTAAAAGAATAGAAAACCACAAAAATAAGAAAACCATTCTTTTCTTAGAAAGTTTGTGTAATGTTGATAGAAATATTTTTTTGATAGATGCAAGTTATGGCTGTCAAAGGGTGAAACATGTTTTGTTGCAAAAAAGTTCCATTCTTTTCATGAATGTGTAACTAATCAGAACAGTCCACTTTTGTGGTACACAGGAAAATGAAACATGTAGGAAAACTAAGTGAATTCACTGATTTAGTGTTACTTATACCCATATAAGATAAGTTAAATGTACAATATGATAAATAAACATTTTAAAGCTTGTAAATCCGGCTATAAGAACATATTTTTTTTCAATTTCATCGAAGCTAACACACCCATTTAATAGAACATATATTCCAAAGAAAAGGCGCAAAGATTTACTTGTGACGTTTGGCACGAAGTAATCTCCCACCTTTCATAGTAGACAAATTGACTGATGCAGCAGTATAAAAGTGCAGACAAAGATTACATGGACATGTCTGTAGTTGGAAAACTCAAGTAACAAATTCTGAAGTGAATCTGCTGCTAAAATGCCTGCTGTGACAGGGGGCGTCGGTTTTTAAGGTCTCATCCGAAGGACCCGCAACTTTCACTTCAAAGTGCCAAGCACATGGTGAAGGAACAGTTGCTACCTATTTTTTTATCAACTTAGGTCGAGATTCAAACTCATGACCTCCCGATCATGGAGCGAGCACTCTACTGACTGAGGTACTGTGAACGGTTTTGAAGATATGATGTTTTATTTTGGTGTATGGTCTGAAAGAAAATAGATTATCTTGTCTAAACAGAAACAAACAGATGGCAATTAGCCATAACTGGAAACTGTTATAGATTTGATGCAAGGTCATTTGGACAAGTTCAAGGTCACTGAGAGAGAAACTGTAAATTTGTCTACTGCCATTCTGCTGGTGAAACATTGGAATGTTAAACTTCATTCGAGATCGCTTTTCATCTAAGAAAGTGTAATGACCTTCACCCAAGATAGGTACTTTCTGTCCACAGCTCCTACGGAAGACCTACTCGTTGCTTTGCAACAAGCTTTGCTCTAGTTATTATTATGTTCCCCAAACGAAGTTTGGGAACATATTGTTAAGGTCTTCCGTCTTCACGGAAGACCTTATATTCCACTGTTTCCTATTATTAAGGTCTTCTGTCTTCAGCAGAAGACCTTCTTGTTATTCTTAGGTTTCTTTTCCACAGTTTTTATTATTTTTTTCTTACCAAGTTTGTGTATACGAGTTCTTGGAAATGACTCGATTTTAATAAAAATATCAGGAATGATAGAACATCAAAAAATCGAGACATCTTTTTTTTATGTTTTGGTGACGTCACTTCCGGTTCCGAGATTTCTCTATTTTAATGAATTTTAGAGGGTTAGTTTGTCCGCGAGTTTTCTCAGAGAGAAACGTGAGATTTTCAATTATAATAGAACAATATATGTAGATTTGACAAACATATTTCATTTTCTCCAGAACTGCTGCACACTGACGCTTGCTATGGCCCGAAAAAAGGCATATTGAGACTTTCAAAATTTCTAACACTTTTTCTACAATATTTCTACACCTACAAATATTCTGTTTAAAGATGTAGAACAAAAGTAGTGCAGAATTACAAGATTTTTCAAATGATATCATAGAAATGGGGTTGGCCCCTAAAATAAGGGGTCTAGAGGGGCCGAAAGTTTTTTTTATCAATAACATAAAAAGTATTGAGAATTTGTAAAACATCAAAGAAGCAAAGTTGTTTGAAATGACAAGTAGCAGCTAGTGAAAACGTCAAAAGAAGTCAAATGTCGTCACTTTTGGCCAAAGAGGACGTAGTCAAAATTGCTTATTTTTACAGATATTGGCATGGAATAGAATAATGAATCTCACAGAAGACATCCAACCATATTTCCTATCAAGCACTGTCATTTTCAACCACTTCCGGTTAAACCGGAAGTAGCCAGAAATGACACTTTTTTTTTTTTTTACAAGATATTTACATAAAATTAAACTATTAATATCACCCAAGACCTCATTTTTTTCCCCATAAGCATCACTTCTGGTTGACCTGGAAGTAGTCATGAATTGCTTAAAATCATGCACATGTGTAGATTTCAATTATTAAAATATACGAAAGACAGATCGACATCATTTTTGGTCGTATCCTTCTTCATAATAAATGGTTTACCTTTGTGTACTGATCTTACAGGCAGTGATACTGAAAATCGGATGGAAGACCTACTCGTTGCTTTGCAACGAGCTTTGCTCTAGTTATTATTAATTTTTTTTACCAGATTTTGTGCAGGCGTTTTCTCGAAAACTGTTGAGTGGTTTTCAGTGAAACTTGCAGGAAAAATGAGTCATTAGATGAACATTGTTCATCACAAGAAAAATTTGGAAAATTCTCTTACGGTTCCAAGTTATGGACTATTTCCTGATTTTTAAATGGAATTTTGTCAGCGAATGATCTAAAGAACGGCTAAGGATATGAACTGGAGACTTATTGGAGAAGATAGATCATGACCTTTAGATTTGCAGAATCATCTTTTTGTCCATCGTCACTACTTCCGGTTGCTACAGAAGCGAATTTAAAAAAGTGAATTTTTCAACTTTTTTGTTTTTCGATTTTCTTTGTATGATTTTTAGTAAATTTAAGACAGACTCTTTTATAAATACTTAATATATAATTTGTTTTAAAATTGATAAATCCAAACTCTAGCTATTCGCATTTCTAAATTTGAAGTGGTGGTCCAAAATGGCGGTTGTCTTTGTAAGTTCCGACAAGCCGATCGGAGTTTATGGAGACAGCCGAGCGTCTGGTTGAAAGAAACTAACATAAGGATGAATGAAATGTGAAGGAATTGTTAGATTTTCATGTTGCAATCATGTTGCAATTCTGTTTAGAACTAGAGTTTTAATCCAAGGTTTCCTCAAACATCTACTATAATTGTCTTTTATAATTGTTTTTGTCTGTATCTCAAAGTAGTAAAAGACATGACAAGTGAAAATACGATAACTAAAATATTTTGTTTGCACGACAGAAAAACTGATCCTAAACCCATGGTTATAAGTAATAGCTTTTCAAGAAACTTGCCTGACTAAAGCAATTAATATTTATAGTAAGTATTATGTGGCAAATGTTTTTTTTCCCCATGAAAGCTTGTGTCATATTACTAAATGCATAGTTGCCAACTCACCCGATTTTTCGACCCTTAACCCGATTATTTTTTATGACACTGTTTTTCACCCGATTTTTGCCGAACAACCCAAAAATCTCCTGATATCCGGATTTGGTTCGTATATTAGGTTGCACTTTTATCTTCCAGTTACAACCCAAGCTTGGATCTACATAAACAATGCTGATGGCTATGTTCAGTAGGCCGTGTAGTGTACCAATAAATTATCAGTGCAGGTGTAAACAATTACCTGGGAGTTGTTTTGACAAATCAAAGTTTGAAGTCAATTTAAAACGGCTTCCAACAGAACTAGATCGTTATTAAGTTATCAGGGTCAGCAGGAACAAATTGAA